TGTGTAAAAATATATAATATTTTTGGCAGAGACCTAATCCTTTCTTGTTTCAAATACTGTCTGTAATCATTGTTTTAAATCTATATATCCATTGTCATAAAGAACTCAAAGGTCAGTAATTTTCACTGCAGTTTTTGTTTTGGTCTCCAACTATTTGCTGATAAAACATAACAATGTCGCCTGCTCACAGTTTAACCTATGTGCACAAAGGTTTACATAAAGGTCAAAGAAAAGAATTGGTAATGCCACAAGTTAGGTATTTTCTCCATTTTCTTTTAAATCATCTTAAATAATAACTTTTGGAAGAGTTGTTCTGGCTTATGTCCCACCCTCCCACCAAAAAGAGTCCGTACCTGCTGATGAAATAACTTATCCTACTAAATATCCTGGGTTTCAAAATGTCCTCACTGCCAGTTTCTTGATATTTCCCATAATTCTTCAGCTATTCAGTGAAGTGGTTTTAATAAAGAGTTGAAAACAAGGCTTAAAATATCAGCAAAAGGAATGTATGGCACAGTATATTTGGATTTAGGACAGGGCGATGGCCTAGTACTGTAACCTATTCTGAATGCATGATGTTTGGATAAAAGTTTTTTGTCCTAAAATCTTATAGCTTCATCTACAAGAGAAACTTCTGATGACTAATTGGAGTTCTGTTAATCAACTACAGTATATTTCAAGAGTAGTTGTAGAACTGCTTCTGGATTGAACTTGCAAGCACAGGAATAATTTGTGCCTTATTTAAGTAACCTATTGAATACTTATGGTATACTATTAACTATATTTTATATTGGTATAAATATTAGCCATTCATATTTATTCTGCATAGATACTGTCACTTAAACATCTGCCAATAAAGTTACAATATGCTGATTCAGGCTTGCAAACATTAACAAGAGAAGTATTGGTATCTATTTATTCATACTGGACATTTATACACAGGCAACTCACTTCCTAAATCACCATATTTTTCAATGATAATTGCCTGTAGAAAGCTGCAGATGAGTTCTTCACACAGACAGCAAGCAATATGTGGAACAGTATGTTCCTAATATATATATATTTTAAAAACAGCTAGAAAAATGATTTTCTTGACTCTGCTTGTATTGCTAAAGTTTGGGTGCTCCTTTAAATTTTCTTTATATGGTGAAATAAATTCCTTGCCAAGATACATGGTAAAGATTATCCTGTTCTGCGTGGCTGATGAGACTTTGATCAGAGCAGCATGGGAGAATGCTTCTTCACATTCATTCAGTTTCACGTGCCCTCAGAGTGGTAACAGTAAGGATGTTACATACTGCTGAATTATCCGCTAGCGGCCAGACTGAAGCATTCAGCTTTGTCCATCTCATGGGAGATTTATAGCTTAGGTTCTTGCTCCTGGACTTCAGCAAATAAACATTTAACCTTTAAAAAAATGAATTAAAACTGCTGGGTTATACGGTACTCTCTGGAACCTGGTTTTGAGATCTACTTCTTCATGACCCCAGCATATCTGGGCATATAATGATGTCCCTGACATATGAAAGTCTAATTGGATCTGATTTGGAATCCATCATAAGAATGAGTGCTAATTGGTGACTTCTAATCCAAATACCTTCCTTGATAACAACAGGGGTTCATATAAGAAATTTCTTTTTGGCACATCATTGGTTCTTACAGATGCTGCATTCCAGACCAGAACTGAAAGTCTCTGCCTACATTGGCAGCAAGACTGCATTTCTGAAGTGATGTGTCAATGCCAGGAGTAGACTGGAGAACGGAGCTGGAGACAGTTATCTTAAACCAGACGCTAGGTCCAGTTTAACTGTCCACATCTGGCACATAAACCTTAGTTACTCTCCTTTCTATCCTCTTCTCTATACATTTGTTCCATTTTCTGCGCCTTGGTGACCTAAATTTTACTGGAGCGGGAGATAGGCAAACATGTCCCAAGCTGCTCCAAGGCAAAACAAGAAAAAAAGATGGCAGTCATGATCAGAACTCCACTACAGACACCAAACACGTGACCACTGCAAACAAATCTGCTGTCTTATGGCCTGAAAAGCCTGAATGATGTAACATCATGATTTTTTGCTGTTTCTGTGAGGAAGGCCTGAATGGTTTCTTTACATGTAATCAAAGTTACAAAATAAAACTCTGGGGCCAGATCCTGCCTTTATGTAGCCAGAAGCCACTCCACTACTTTGAAGGACAGAATTTAGATCTTTGAATGTGCAGAAACCCAAACCAATATTTCCATCCAATATAAAACAGATTAGTGCACATATATATTGTACCTCTGTTCAAAAACTGCACAGCTCCTCTCTGCTATTTAATGAGAGTCTGTTCCTTTCTTCTGTGATGTTCTTCCTCTGTTGTCCTTTTCAGTGACATCTGATTGCTGTGGAAAAGATGAGACATATCTTAGTTTCATCACTGTGCTTAAGTCAGCCATCAATACAGAGCTGCTTTTAGGATGTCAAATGACAAACTTTCCTTAGAAAAGAAGAAAACAGGCACATGTGTTGAATTTTTTCCTTTGCCAGAAAAGAATGCAACATTAAGCATGTACTGAATTATCCTGGAGGTCTGGACAGGAGGTCTGCCATTTCTGTAATGCCACATCATTACAAAGAAAAATGTCTGTAAAGAAACTTTAATCAAAATATACATGAGACTTTCATTTAGGATCAACACAATTATTGATCAGCTTCATTTGTTGTGTGCCATTTTATGAATCCATCTACATGAAATCACTGAATCACATGGAACAGGGGTGCTCAATCCCCTACCCATGGGCCAGATCCAGCCTACAGCCCCATGTCATCCAGCCTACAGGGTACCCGATGGGTCCAGAAATTTGGCAGTGGGAGAGAGGTGGCATTGCTTCCCCACCACCAAATTTCTGGACCTGTGGAGAGCCCTGGCCCTGCATACTGGATCAAGCACCTGATCCCAGCACATACCACAATTCCAATGTGAGGCGCTGGGAGTGGGCAGTGCCAGGCCCTTGAAACATAGTCCCAGCATGATGGGATGGGTTGGGATGGGATGAGATGGGAGGGGGTGGTGCCAGGCTCCTGAGGACCAACTCCAGCAGGAGGGAGTACAGCTGGTCCCCTGGGACCCAATCCCAGCACTCTGGGGCACGAAGGGAAGGTGTCAGACCCCAGGGTGAGCTTGATCTGGCCCACCGATCTGCCTATCCCACTCATCTGGCCCGTGGGCCAGATATAGAAAAGGTATATATATTCAGAGATGTTCATCTAAAAAGAAACCCTTACCTTCTGGTGTCCTGTGATCTTGTGCAAAACCGTAGACACTGTTTGTCATGTGTGTCCAAACAAGAACATCGAAATGAAGACCATTCTGAAGACTCCGAGTTCCTCTGAAGGTGGCCTGTAGACCTTTTCCCTCTAAAACTGCCTCGGTAGTTAGAAAGCCCATATGGGACCGTCCTCCTGTTATGAGAAATACAGAGATGCTATACAATTATAAGGGCTGCTGTAGATACAGTTCAGTATTTGTTTTTCATACATATATTTGTTTGTATTAAAATAAACCTACTATTCTAATATAGTGAGCAATTAATTTCTGCCATAAAATTCAAAGATGGTATTCCCTGAAAAATGTCATTCCTAAAACTGAATATAACTCTTTCTCTCTCGACCTGTACCCTCAGAGAAAGCCATAAAGGTAGATAAAATGTCACAAGTAACAATCCTTGTGTAATTGACAGATCTAAATATGAGCATGAAAAGCCCTATTCTTGAGACACAATGTGCCAACTACCTGATATCTGAACAGAAATGCAATCCTAGGTTGTTGCTTATTTTAACTTGCACTGATGCTTTATTTTTGTACAGGCGATAGTCTCCATTCTCCATGTATAATAGTGCTAGTGAAACTAAAAGTTCAAGGTCAGATTCTTAGTGAGGGTAGATGAGGCTGGCATGGAGACCGTCAAAGGGTCTGGCTTACAGCAAGACTACTTTTGCCATCTGATACACAGGCACAGCTCTCAGTGGCTTAATCATTTTCACCATTAGTGAGAGATACTAGCATACTGAGTTTCTCATGTCATACTTAAGTACGTGGATCTGGATCCCTAAATATGGAATCATCAAAAGAGTCCTCCAACAAGGTTGTCAGTAGTTGTGCAGGTGACTGAAGTACTGACCATGAAATTGTTGTCATTACTTGTCCTCCACTGGAGATCATATTCACTGCCTTATAGAAGCATGTCATCAGGGTCCTCTTTAGCCCCAGCAAGATTGCATATTTCACCCCCTAACGATGGACATCCATTAAAATTGCTGATTGCCATCCTAGTGACAAGAGGTTTTGCTGTGCCACAACTCACAGATAACATGAAAGTGCAGGAGGCTGTTTGCAAATTGGTGTGAAAAATCAAGCTTTCTTGGGAGGTGAGAGAGTCTCCATTACTACCATGTGGCCACCACATGGAACTTTTGGAAGTCAAGAAAACAGCTCTAGTTACATGAGAGCCAGGCCAACCAGCCCAAGAATCCATCTAACTGAAATTAGAGGGGAAAATAATCCCCATTTCAAAAGCAAAACAGCATGAAGGAAGAACAAAAAGAATATTGTTCTGAAGGAGGGTTACAAAACAAGGACTGTTTGCCTGTGAGTAATTAGCAGTGGAAGAAAGACAAACTCCACATGGTTGGACTATGTTTAATTAGTCTTCATTGAAGAACTGTATTTAAAAAGCTAGCAGTTGGTGATTGGCACACATTTTCTATCAGTCAACACTTACAGGAGACTGAAGGGTGCAGAAATGGTATTTTCCATCTGTCTCCAAGAATGCAAGATTCCCAAGATTTTTAATAGCATCAGCTAGAACAATCAAGGTATCAATGTAAGTTACCCACTCTAAACACCATATGCTGTCCTCTCAGATTTCACAGCTAGAGCTACAGTAAATTTATCAGGTGATGAGTCTTTACTCCTGCCTACAGTAAAACAAAGGAGGAAAATAACCAAATTAGGACTGTGCAAAGCTTCAGTCCCTGATTCAATTGGGCATTCAGTGGCCGAATCTCTGAATCTGAATCAAATCAGAGGACCCTTTAATCTCTCCGAACTGAATCGGAACCCTCCGAAGATTCAGAGATTCGGACATAGACACAGCTTTAAATGTTTTTTCTACATACCTCTAGGTACCAGGCGGCTCATGAATCCTGCAAAGCTGGGGCACATGGAGCATCCCACAGGAGTGCGGGGGGCTTCCCAGTGCGCTTGGCAGCAGACCCAGAAGTGGGCCAGAAGCACTTCCAGTCCACTTCTGGGTCCACCGGAGTGTGTGGTGAGGGTCCCCTGTGCCGCCTGGCTCAGCAACTGCTGCCTCGTGGGTCTGGGGGGGCACCCAGGGTCCCCCCCACAGCTGATTGCCTAGCCGGGGGGGCGCAGAGGGGCCCCCCAGCGTGCTCCCCGACGGACCCGGAAGTGAAGCAAAAGTACTTCCGTTCCACTTCCGGGTTCACCGCTGAGCACACTCCTGTGGGACGCTCCATCTGCCCCAGCATCGCAGCATTTATGAGCCATTCTGGTACCTCGAGGTATGTAGAAAAAACATTCAAAGCTGTGTCTATGTCCAAATCACTGATTCTCTGAATCAGCATCGAATCTTCAGATCTGGCTTTGGCCAAATCGAATCAGGGCAGTGATCCGAATCAATTAATCCAATCACTGTTCCCAATTTGGGCCAGATCCAAATCCGAATCGAATAAGGTCCGCTTCACACACCCCTAATACAAATATTTCTGTGGTTTGGAAGCCACGAGGCATCCTTGGTCTCTCAAATAGTTCATAAATCCATAGGAGGACAGGAGTTCTGCTGTGATTGGCTCCTTGCTGGCTCTTGCATTTTGTTACATCCTCTCAAGAGCCTAGAAACAACAGAGTAGATGCTCATGTTTAAACTAGCTACATTAAACTCCCTTGTGGATTTCTACAGGGTTTCCAGTGTTGAATGGGGCAACTTCCCATCCCAATGACCTTTTGTTCTGAAAATGTATTGGGCATCAACTGTGCAAGGAGACTTCCATCAATTTGGGGAAAAGGGTATATATGGACAACAGACTCCATTCTTCGACTTTCATATGGACTTGCAATTTTGGTACTACCTCCATGCCATCCAAACCTTACAGCTGGAGATTGCCTGGCATATGGAAATTAGTCTCATGTTCTACTTATGTACCCCATACACACAAGACTGTAAGATCTTGTGGGTTAGGGATAAGCCCCATTGTATATGTATAGCATGCACTGTACACTAATAGTCCTATAGTTACATGTTTAGGGAGGAGGTGAGTAAAATCATTTTACTCTTTTTTTTAAAAACAATTGAGCTTAAAAGCCATAAAGAATTGCCCCTTTATAAAATTGGCAAGGAAGAGCTCATGTCCCCTAGGCTTAGCTGCTAAGAAAGAATAGGTTAGTCCAGTGGTTTTCAACCTTTCTTCATTGGCAGACCTTTAAAAGTTTTGAATGGAGGTGCAGATCCCTTTAGAAATTCTGAATGGTGGTGCAGATTCCTTGAACTGTAAGTATGGGTGCTCAAATAGTTTTGATTTATCACAAACATCTTTTGGAGGCCCCTTAGTCCACAGACCATGGACCACAAGTTGAAAACCACTGGGTTAGTCCAATATTACCTATTATTGCGTTTCCTTTAACTTTCTCTAAAAGTATATGGTCGTTGTTGGAGATGGAATGCAGGATTAGGTGGGTCATTGGTTTAATCTGGTGTCATAGCTGCTGCATTTGGTAAACTAGAGAGGAGTATGTATAATCTGTTTGCTTACTTCACCTGTGTAAGCCAAAATGAAAAATTTAATTTTGTATGGTGTAACGTGAAACTAAAAAAACTTGCTTTGAGATGCACATGGAGGGAAGAACATATTTAAAATGTCTTTCCGTCACGTGCTGAAACAATTTTCAAAAGCTCCATATAAATGGGAAGCAAAATTATTTCTTACATTGTCAAGTCTGACACGAAAATGTCACCATTATTTCCTATTCTAAGAAGGAGGAAGTCAGTATTTTAGATACTGAGTGGCAGTACTTTTCATAGCTCAGGTAGTTGCATCTACAATACAATAATTTGATTAAATAATTCAAATATTTTGGGGGGGGGGGAAGCCCATTCAAATTGGAAATCTAACACCATTGTTGTTGGCGCCAACCTGTGGATCTTTAGTAGCAATGTTCTAAGCATACTCCTTTAAGCTAGGGACAGAGATTACACATAAACTGGTTTAAGTGATCAGAAACTGGTTTAAATCTGTAACGGAACATAAATTCCATGCACATAACTAATTCAAAATGGCTGAA